TGGCTGGAGCGGAGGTCATTGGGAAGGTGGGCCGCCAGCCTCCTAGACTGAAGTTGCTGAAGACCCTGCAGATGGATGGTCTTCTGGGCAGGCCTGTTAAAAGAGTATTCATCTCCAAGCCCCCATCCCTACCCCCCAGTACGCCACTCTCACCCTCGACAGCCTCCTGGTGATAGCTGTGACCTTGACCCTTCAGGCTTCAAAGGCACTGCCCATCCCCGAGCTGAATTCCTCGGACCCCAGAGGTCTTTCCTGATATCGTCCCACCCTTCTTTGATGAGCTCATCTGACCTTCCACTCTCCACGTCCTCTCCAGAGAGAACTGACTGGCTTTCTGGGAACGCGTCCCCACCCCCAGACCCCCAGTCCTGTACGGTGCAGGGAGGCGGGTGTGCACTCCACAGGGAGCACCGCGCTCCCGGCCAAGTGTTTCTTGAGTCAGTAAATGAGTGGACACTGGAGGAACGAGTGCCTCTATGAACAAATGGGCCCCTACACTTCCTGCCCACTCGTCTGGCCGCCACACAGGTGGCTACTGCAGCCTGGGCAGCCAGTGCTCTGAGGGGCCTCCCCGAATAGGCTGCAGCCCTAGGCACAGTCCAGCGGGCCCATCAGGTGCTGTCCTACACCCCATTCCTGCCACTGACCATTCCTGTCTGTGATCCCCCATCAGGGCTCTGGGGAGCCTTGGGCACACCACCTCCTGACTGGACAGAGCCTCCTGCCTGCACTCCTCTGGTGGTGCTGGCGGTTGGCCTTGTCCACTGAGGACCCACCCTGCTCAGCCCAGGCCTTTCCAGAGTGTCCCTTTGCCACCGGACTGGAGTGTTCCACAAATATTTGTCGGAGGAGTTTGAAAGACCATTCTCTCCGACTCTCAAATCGCTGGCACCGATCTTGGCATCGCCCCACGAGGACAGAGCACCCCAGGCTTCTGACCTGGAGGGCAACACCCTTCTTGTAGAGGTGGCCCCGGAGGGGAGCCCTTACAGAGACCAGTGCTCACCACGGACAGAAGTGCAGGTGTGGTAACCCAGAAGCATGGCCTGGACAGGCCTGAGGCCCCAGGACAGCCGCCCAGAACAATTTGAGCCCAGGGCCCTAACCCACATCCTCTCAGATCTCTGTGCTCTCTGCTTCCCACCCCCCGACCCCGGCAAGGTACGCTCAGAAGGTATAGTGCCAGGGATGGCAGAGAAGGGCTGTGTGTGGGCAGGGGGCACACTGGAAACATTTTCATTTTCGCGTTTTGGTGTTTGGGGAGTGGGTGGGCCTGAGAATCAGGTGTTTTCCTTTTTCTTTCCAGTCTCTCAAGTGATTGTAATACACAGACCAAGTTGAGAATTTTCACTTTGATTTGATCAGGGTCTTGAATGCTGGGGAGGCCCGAGAAAACTGGAGAGGGCAGGGGCACCAGGCACAGGGACAGGGGCAGGCCAGTGAGTTATGGAATAAGGCCCTTTGAGCCACAGAGCCTTTGTGATTCCCAGCAAAGGAGGACCCTTTTCCTGATGGATCTGGGTAAGAAGGCCCAGGAGTGGGGTTGGCGGGGAGACACAGATGATATGATTCAGCTGTGAGTAATGATTAACAGGGTTGAGCATGGTTGCCATCCTCTGGTTATAGAATCAGAAGCCGGGGTGAGCAAGTGAGAAGAGTTTACTCTACCAGCAAGTGAGAAGAGTCAGGAGTGGAGCATGTCCTTAGGACGCTGGAGGCCCCTGCACATTGACCCTCCTTGGTCCAGGGCACCGCAGTGACATTGGAGGGCTGGCAGAAGAGAAACAGCAGCAGAACCAGGAGCCAGAGCACGAGAGCAGTGGGTTCCGGGCCCACAGAGCAGATAAAGTTGAGTGCTTTGGGACAGGAGGCTGTCTTCTGGAGTGGGGTGCCAGTGGGCACTTAATTGGGAGAGCTGGGTTTGCTGACCCACAGAGCTGGGTGAGTGCCTTCCAATGGAGACTTACAGAGGAGTGGTATGCCCTTTGGGCATTTATTGGCTGTCCTAAAAGAGCTTTGTAACATTGCTCAAGCAGGGCTGAGACCAGGCCAAGAGGCTGAGGGTCAAAGAGAGGCCGGCCTGCAGGAATGGCAGAGAAGAGACTGTTACTTCTCTGAGCATTTCTCACATGAATCAGTTCCCCATAAACTCTATAATCACGAGCATCGGTCTTTGAGTTGTGTGTGGCCATTGTGCTGAATTATCGAATCCAGCCAAGAAGCAAAAGCATGCCTCTGGAGGGCTGGTTGCTGAGTGGAGGTACATCTGACCTTAACCTCAGAAATCAGTGAGTGATGCTGATGGAGTTTGAGTTTCCTTCCCCTTTGCACAGCTGGAGGAGCCTTGGTGGTGCAGTGGTTGCTCATTGGGCTGCGATTGGCTTGGTTGGCAGTTCAAAACCCCCATTAGCTCTGTGGGAGAAAGGCTGGCCTTTCTAATCTCATCAACAGTTAGTCTCAGAAACCCTTGGAGGGGGGGGTCGCTATGAGTCAGCACTGATTGGATGGCATTGAGTTTGGTTTGTTTTTTGTTTTTTGGGTAGCTGGAGGAGGTCAGATGCTGCCCCCATTTGTTCCTACTACAAGCAGGCAGGAAGACAGAGGGATGTCTGAAGGACAGGTCCTCGCTTCTCTGGATGAACAGGGAGCTGTGTGGAG